CACACGACCCCATTTTGTCTTGCCAGCTTTTCCCTTTGTGAGCATTAGTCTATTTACCCTCTCCCTTCACTGTCTGTAGAAATTCTTTCCCCTACCTCTTGCTTTATGAAAAAGCTGACTTGTGTCATTCCTCACTTCTCTGACTCTCTTATCTTTTATTAAGTGTTACTTAGAGATACCTATTCTCTTTGGATTATACTAATTTTTTCCCATCTGTTACTCTTTAACTCCTTAATTATGTTCTTTAAATCAGTAAAACATTGTAGGATAGAGTTTATGTGTAGCATACTGTATAAATTAAAACTAATTCTAATGAGACAAATTGCAGTGACTAGTTTGGGTTAAGTATGTGACCTTTTGCAGGGTAGTTCAGCCTAGTTTTTAGTAAAGAAATGCTGTGTTGAAGACTAGTCACTAAACTTCAACAGTGTACAAAACCTCAATAACTTTTTTTTTAGCTTATATCTGTAAATGCATAAGACTGAAATATTTTAAACTCATAAATCTTTTTTGATAAAATAATGTAGACAGCTACCAACATAAATTAACTAATTCTCATTTTTCTGAGCTGCACATTCTGTAGCTGGAGTGAAACTAGCAGTTGAAGTATTTGTTTCTTGGCACTGGTGGCAGGTGATACCCTTTCTTAAAATCAGCATTCATACCTTTTCATTGTTTGCTTTACAACATAAAACTAAACAACATAAGCTTTCCAGTATGATTTCAGCAGAAAGGGCTGGAAAACAATTATTTTGCAGTGACAAGCCATACACAGTTGAATCAACCAGTGTTGTCTTATAGTTTTGTATCAGCTGATTTAGGAGTTGTGTGTGAGCTCTTCTTTCTTAATCCAAAAAAACAACTGACTGGTGGATAGGCTAGAAGGGACTTGAACGAATCATGTTACTTATTCTGGACTTTTCCTTCACTTTAGCTGAACAGTGGTTCTGTGTGTTAATGTTTAACTCAAGAGTTTACAGTTTGATTATGGGATCACAATACAATAACATACTGGGGAAGATACGTGTTTGGCTGGGAACCATTTGCTCTTCATGACTGGTTTGTTGTCTTTGCATTGAACTTTTTTGATATTAAAGGAAAGTGTAGTTTTTTATGGGGTAACACTGGATGTTGATCTTTCAGCATTTTGAGCAGGAGGAATAATGGCAGTAGTGTTCAACCACAATAAATACTTCTTAAGCTGCTTTTCAGGCAGCTCATTGTTTAAAAGTAGCCTTTTTAAATATTAGAATCTACATGCCAAAAAAGTTTTGGAAATTAACTGGCACATGCACAAAGGGATTTTTTCAGGGTTTGTTTTATTTTGTTTTTCAAAAGAGAGACAACCTAAGCATAATGCTTATCAGTTTTGATTTTCATATAATACATCTTATTTAAGTACCTCTGTAAATTGCAAGCTGTATTAAAGTAGGTCTTTTTGATTTTGAACTAAAGTTCAAGTGAAGACTCTGATTTTATTAATGTTCATAGGGTCTGTGTTCCAATAAACTGATTTATATTCTGTCAATGGCAAATAAAAAAAAAAAAAGTCTTAATGTATTTTATTGCTATGTTAGATAGTTGAAATTGCACTTGATTTTATTAATGTTCATAGGGTCTGTGTCCAAAAAATGATTTTTATTTTGTCAAAGGGAAAAAAAAAAAAAAAAAAAGTCTTAATGTATTTTATTGCTATGTTAGATAGTTGAAATTGCACTTAGGATGCAATAACCAGCATTAAAGGAGGAAGCTAAAATGAGTATTATGGCAAAAACTGCAGAGGCAATTAGGAAATGTCAGCAGTTTTGACTGTGTTTTTTTTCCTTTTTCATTTCTTTTATCAGTAAGGCTCTTGCAATTCATGTTTGAAGATCAGGAAAACAATTTTGTACTTGCAGGAGTTAATCTGTGTCCAAAGCATTTCAGTTCAATTAAAATAAAACCTAAGAAAAAATCTATTGGCTTAAACTAACTCTCGTTTGTCTCTGGGTTAGACTAACGTGTGGTCTCCTGCACTGCCAGAACATGTAAGGCACAGCTGCTGGGTGTTGTTAGCTCCTGCATCTCTGATCTCTGCAAACTTGAAATCAAAGTTCTTTACAACCTCCGTGGCTCTCTTTGCCCATCTCTGAAACAAGAGCGCTCTTTCCTTTAGGGACATTCACCACATAAGGCTGCAGAAGTCGTTGGTTGAATGTATCTGGTATCGTTCCCTGCTGTGTTTGAACTTGGTGGGTTCCTCTCTGATGTGCTGCCGAGGCTCTTTCCAGCATGTGTCCATCAGACAGGACACCTTTGAGAAGGAGGCAGGTGGACTCTCAAAAACGCTAGACTTTGTTTAAGCAGTGGCTGGTTGTAGAACCTCTGTGTCATGGAAGGTTGAACTGGATGCATCGTGCCTGTATATACCAAAATAGCGGGAAGAACAATCAGAAAACATTCATTTAGCTCAAGATACCTGTTTTATCAGAATGCAAATTAACACATTTCCATTGTTGTTGGGCTTGCTGTTTTTTGTACAGAGGAACCTTTGTGAAGGAGGAGGGTGCTGCTGACTTACTGGAACACTTTAGTTTGTCCTTAGGTCAAACACTTTTGGTCAACTCCCTAATATTTTCTATTAGGGTGAGGATTTTTGGATGCATATGTTTCTCTAAAGCTGGCATTTTTCATATTTCCTACTTAGGGTCCATCAGGTACTCAGGTGTTGGATTCATCTTCCATTACAGAAATAGATGGATTGAAACCCCTAAGAAATACAAAATGTATTAGTAATCATAATTTATTTTTTCTTCAGTTTTGTTGTTTATTTTTTCTTGAATACCACAATTCTTTCTTGCCTGTCTGCTTTTAGGGTTGTGTTTTTGGCAATAACTAATAGTTATTTAACATACTGTCATTGAGAGCTTCCCATTATGTCTGTTATTAGAAGGAGAGAATAAAAGCTGGAACTTTTAGATAAACTATTTAGACTGTTTGCTTGTTACATCCTTCTGCTGCCTCAGAGCAAATTACTGTGCACAGTAAAATGCCAAATAAATGCAACTTGAGATGTTGGTGGGTTTACACTGGTTTTATTTGATCACACAATTCTACTTCTTCTATTTTCTATTTTGCACCTCTGTTGCTTTCAGATCTTACTAATCTTTGCCTTTCTGACCCATTTTTTCCTGCTTTTATCATTGACTGCAGCCCTGCCAATGCCTCACTGTCACACCAGAGCAACTCCCTGTCATGCAATCACTTGTCAGTATAAGACTTCCTTTCTCTAGGTCTGAAATACACTTCACTTTCTACTCGTCTCTGTTTGGGTTGCCTGATCATTTGTCTGGGTTGAAGGTCTGCCTTTAAAGAACTAATATTTTGTTGCTGGCAAAAGAAAGGGGAGGTGAAGGAAGGGTCAGGGTGTGGATCAGTGTTAAACAAATTGTGAAGGTCATAAAGAATTTTAATGTGTCTTGAAAAAGAGACTTGTATCCAGCAGCACATTTTTGTTTGTGATAGTCTGAATGGACAATTGTGGCTGCTTTGAGAATTTGGTGTAGACTGCATGACTGGTATAAATTGAATTAGTCTCATGACAAGGACATAGTCCCCTTTTTCTTCTTTCTATCTGCCTGATGGAAAGCAGAAGAAAGCCCTGTGTGACACGCTTGACCCACAGTGTCACTGTGGGCTTTTGTGAAAGGCTCTGGCTTCTGGCCTCTCATTTGATAAAGCCAATTTGATGGAGACTAGAAAGGAAGCTTGCTGCAACACAAAATTTACTTACAGAATATATTTGGTGGTGAGTAGAGATGATTGCCATTCTGTCTGCATAATCATTAGCAAGCCGGCGTTTCTTGCCGAAAATGGGGCAAAGTCTTGGGTTTGTATAACTTAGGGACACAGTAGCACCAAATGGTGCACTGTGTAGTATCCTGTGCCATGGGATCACCTTCCTTTGTCTTTTTCTCCAGCCATTCCTGTGCCTTCCTTTTCCTCCATTTGCTTATTTCTCCCATTTTTCTTTCCCACTCTTCTGCCTTCCTTTCATCTCCCTACACTTCTTTCCTCCCCCAACTTTGTATCTTGAACTGGAATGAAATTTCTCCGTCTTTTCCACTCTGACAGGGCATCAGGAAATAACACATTCTAAGTGCTGCTTTACTTTAGCCTGAAAACATCCCAGCTTACTGATTTTGTGTTCTTTTCCTTCCCATTCATGATGTTCTCCTGACAGAGGAGTGCAAATTTGGACAATTCCAGTGGAAATGTATGTAGTGTATCAAAGGAAAAAAGATCAGAATGCAGGATGTGTAAAATAAAACGGTAACCTTCGTTGCTGGATGTTATACCTGTATTCACAATGCAAATGTAATTATTTAAATTGAAATATTTCTTAATATTCTAAGTACTAGAAAGACCTTTTGAATTGCTGGTTTGCGTTTTTGGGTTTGGGTGAGTTTTATTTAACCAAGATCAAAAATTCTCTTTCCCATTAATACACAAGGCAGTGTTTTGGGTTTTTTAATTAAGATCTTTTCATTGTAAATTTACAAAACTCATAAGAGAATGATTTTAATATTTTTCCTGAATATTTGTGTCAAATAAGGGACTGTCACTTGAGGAAGAGTAGCCAAGTATTTTTGCAGTCAGCAAACAAACAGTTGAGAAAAATTAAGTTACATTACAGGTTTGCTATTTCAGTGTGTGAGATTTGGCTGCAGGTACTCTTGACAGCACATCATGGCATTGTGCCAGCCTCGTGACCAAGTTTGAGTGATGTTTTTTGCAAGTTCTGTCATTTGTATCATGAATGCTGGTGGTTTTCATTGGAGAGTCATTTCAGCTCATGCCACAAACCTCTAAGGGAGGTACAGAAAATTGAAAACATTGTGTAGTTTAACAATCCAGAAATACCTACTTTTCCAAGAATGTTTATATTCCATTATCTCATGTAGATGTTAGAAAACTGTTCTTTTTTAATACAATGTATTTTTTTGTCTTCTTTTATGCAGAGACCTGAGTGAAAACCAGATAAAAGGAATCCCTAGAAAGGCCTTTCGAGGAATCATTGATGTGAAGAACTTGTAAGTGACAACTTCATTAATGTTTGTGGTGAAAAACAGTCTCCCTCTGTTACATCTGGCTGTCACAATTTGTTTGAGTACTGTGTGGTTAGCTCTGTGCAACACAAAAGGGAACTGTGGACCCTGCTGTGTGCAGCAAGTTATTGTCAGGGGTCTCACGTGCTACTCTGGTCCACATGTAGGCTGTGCAACACATCTGGGGAAGTTTGGAGAAAAGGATAAAAACCATACTTGAAGGCTTTACCTCTCCCTTTAGTATTGTTCTGCAACATCCAGTGAAATCACAATCCAAACCTTGAAGCAAGATGTGTATAGGAAAAGAACTGATAAGAGTTTGGGATGAAATTTAGATATTCAGTTAGATTAAATTTTCTCTCCCATCACTGGGGTGGAAAGGAAATAAGGCAAAATATGGCACACAGTGGTCAGGCATGGTGGTTGAGCAGAAATAACAGAAAAAAATAAAAGAATGTCATTTCTGCTCACAGGAAAGTTTATAGTGGGAAGAACTTTGTGAATTTTAAACATAAGCATGGCTTTCTTGTAGAGTTACTACAAAACTTATATTGTGTAATCTAGAGGAATAGATGATGTTTCATTTCAGAAAATCTAACTTTTCCAGCTGTAATTCCCTGTTAGTTTTCTAACTTCATTTAAATTACAAAGTTCACATTCAGAATTGGTTTCACCTCTGGTAAGTTGTCAGAAAAATCATGAGTGTTCTTTGATTTATACACCTAATCTCAGTGCAGAAGGAAGCAGGGTCTCATCTTTTACCTGAGCTGATATCAAGGGATGGATGAATGGACTGCTTAGAGGAGCTCTGTAAATGTTGGCATCCAAAGTTTTAACAAAAAACTGTGACTGTCACGTTAGGCAGTATGGATTATTTTGCTTTAAAAGACATGGTATCAGAAGTGCTTCTCTGTAGCCACTATTTCTGTCTTTCAGGAATACTAATGTTATCACAGAATCATAAAATAATTCTGGTTGGCAGTCTCCTCTGCAAGTCATCTAGTCCAACCTCCATCTCAAAAAAACTTAGTAGTCTATTTAATAGGTTTGCTGATATGAGCCACAAGTACTGATTGTTTAGAACAAGAGCAGAGGAGGAGACTTTTCATTCAGATTGATAGGTATTTTTTCTTAACAAGGAATGGATGAACTGCATATCTAGGATAGTTCCTTAGATCAGGTGACTGTTACTTCCAGACACATACAAGTGGCTTATGAGTTGTTTAAAAAATGTGACAAAATCTTGAGCCAACTTGCTGCTGGAAATGCATTAGCATTTCTGCAGCAATACGAGTGTGATTCAAGTTAAACCAAGTTAATAGTTCAAGCTCTTGGAGCTTTAAGCAGTGAGCTTAAGTGTGCCAATCCCCTTTCCCAGTCTAGATTTGGCAGCCACATTGCTCCCTTCTGAGTCACAGAAATGACCATGCCAACGTGGGCGAGTGTTCAAGCTCCTAGAGGAAGAGAGTGAGTCTGCCTTCCAGTGCCAGTCAGCAGTGTGAGCACCTGCCCTGCTCATCACCTGGTGACTCTGACACATATGAGCTAATGTGATAGCAGCAGGGTTGGCCATGTCTGTGGTTATCACTTTGCAGATTTCTGGTACTATCTCAGATTTCTACCACCTTATAAAGCATGGTTTTGAAGGATCTTGGAGACCTTCAGACATAAGAAATAAAAATACATATTCTCCCACACTCCCCAAACCTTTCCAGTTTATCTTTAGTATTCATATATGGGAAGTCTGGCATGGAACATTCTCTGTTTTCATGGCTTGATATTTCACATGGCCTCAAATTCTTCCAGTTTCTACATAAAGTGTCCAAATGTCATGGCAAAAATACTAACTTTGTAGATATAATAGGAACACATCAAGTGCTACAACACATGCAACTCTGCAGATTAATGCTGTCTTGAACAGCAGCTTGGAAAGCTTCCCTCAGGAAAAAATGCAGAGAAGTTGATGCAATAGACTAAGCCCGAGCATGTATTCCTTTTGGATACAGACTCTGAAATATGCAGCCTAAGGGCTCAAGATAAATTGGAGTATGTGTCATTTGGAAACCCTGGGAGAACTGCCCTCTCTCAGCACAGCTGTAGCAGTAAGCAGCACCAAGTGGCTGGTTGGAGCAGATTGGCTTGGTACCAATAGGAATTTGGTCATTTAAAAAAATAAATGTTAAGATTATAGGAGAGAAAAAAAAGGTGTTATGGAAAGCAGTGTTCCAGGATATTTTTCACCATACCTTTCTTTTTAAATGGTAGAAGATTTGTCTATTGTCACCTCTTAGCACAGCATGAGCCCAGGAAAATGGGCTTATAGAAGGGCTGTGCTAAAGAAGAGCTTTTATATGTCAGGGAGGCCAATGTGTTTGCATGAGACAAAAGCAAAGCAGAGGCTGGCAAGTTGAGGTTTTAAAACTCCCAGTTGGGGAAATTTGTTGTGAATTTTCATATGAAGTGTTTCCTGCTCTTTGACTATAAAATAAAAGGAAGAATCTGCACACAAAATGTAAATTAATAAATCTATTTCTAATTAAAATGTAGAAAATAATTATACTGCTTTTAGAAAGTTTCATGAGCACATAATATCCATTACCAATAGTGAACTTAGATGGGAATTTTGCATAAACTGACACTTTGAATATTTGTTAGAATAAATGCTACTCCGTGATCCTAAATGAGTTGAACAAAAAAGGACAAGAGAGGGCCAGGTTGCAGTGTGCACCTGTATTCAATTTCTGTTACTTATTACTTAGAGAACAGGAAATGTTTCATGCAGAAACACCCCAAGTAAGCACGTTTATTTCAAGAATGAAAGAATATGGATTTGGGTCTTGTTGAGCTTTGGGCTAACTCATCACTGTCAGCCATGGTCTTCCATCATAAAAATATATAGAGCCACTTCTTGGATTTCTGCACGTTTACCCTGTTTGTATCACATCGTGACATTCAGATGAGTGTTTCTCTAGTGAGGTCTTCCTGCAGTTTCTGTTGAATTAGCCTGCCCAGCCCACCTTTCTGGGGAAAGCCAGATACCCAGAACAGGAATCCACAGAAGTTGAGTCGAATAAAGATCCTGTAACAGCAGTAGCCATTCTTTGAGGGTGTTGCCTGCAGTTATTAGCAGTGTGCTCCCAGCTCTTCCTCCCTCTGTGCTCACTTTTAAGACTGTGAAGCTGAACGTAGCCAGTCAAGCTGTGTGGGCATCACAAAGCACTGCAGGAATGTGATTCTTGGAGGCATGATGATATCAGGGTTGCTTGTGTTGCAGGGATCATTACCCCGCAAGAAATGCAGAGGACGGATTTCAAATAATTACTCCTCCTGGCAAGTTGCTGCCCTGTGTCCTTTTGTCATCTCTTGACAGAAGTTTATTCCTTTGTTTTGTGGCATTGCAGTAAGGAAAGTCAATAGCCTGAGACCTAACATCAAGCAGAATGCTGTCTGAGGCTAAAGTGGCAAGACTGTGATTGTGTGTTTCACTGAGTCTTATTCCCTTTGTCAGCCATTCCTATCTTGCACCTTTCTGCCCAAAGGAAAAGCTACTCCTTTAGGCAGTGAGAGTGCAAACACACATCTTGAGTATATACAGAGACAGCTTTGGTGTCAGAGTCTATGTCAGTGCAGCCTCCATGACCCACATCAAGGAGCAAGTGCTGGTGGAAGGGCAGAGTGGCAGAACTGGCCTGTGTCCATACTGTCGACAGGGCTCAAGCTCTGCTATGCCTGGTCCTCTCTTTCACATCAACATCTCCCAAAGAAACTAAAGGATTCACTAAAAGGAAACTATTAATACATACACAGTGTGGATGCATGGGGAGAATGCCAGAGCAGCAGAGCAGAGGGGGAGCTAGCCTGGTGGTGTAGACCTCCTGTCTGAACACCACAAAGAGCCAGAGCCACATGAAGTTACCCAGTTAGTGCATTTTCTGAGGAGTTGCTGCCATTTCTTGTTCTTGATTCCCTGGAACTCAGTGCATATCCAGCTTCAGTGTTTTTCCTTCTGCTGGATTTGACTACAAGATAGATTTTTGTAGCACTGGGATTCAAAAAAACACAAGCTAACAGGTTCATCTGTCATACTAAACAGGCTCAGAGCATTTCTGTCTAAATATTCCTCAGTTGCATGTAAGATAATAGCTCATATTACTAGACTTGCAAGCAGCTTTCCTTGCATCCTGGGGCCACTTAGGAAATTGTGGGTAATATCCTTCTTTATATCCCTAAAGGTTCCTTTGGAGGAAGAAATTAAGCATTTTGATTTTTTTTAATGCAGAAATACATCAGCACATATGTAACAGTTACCACTTTTCTAAGTCAGTAGTCATTTTCTTTCCTAGGGGTTAAAAAAACAGAGCTCTGCAAATACTGTAAAATGTTTTTGTGACTGTTACTTTCAGTTTCTTATTTGTTAAATGGCTTTTCCTGGAAGATATACTCTTATTTTTTCTCCCTGCATCTACTATTAGCATCGATCCATGTCTCTTTTACAAAAATTAAACACCAAGATTGCACATTCAGGTTTTGGAAAAAGCTGAACTTGCTTTTTATGTTGAGAGGTATTTTGCATTAACCTACACAAAACATAAAAATGCTCCTATGTCACTTTTTTTTTATCCATCACAAGCAGCACTGCAGAGCATATTTGTAATATTTACCATTCAGCCATAGAATAGAAATAATTAAACATACCCGTCAAACTAAAATAATGAATAAACCCATGGAAATACTGATTGATTTGTGTGTAGCCATTTCACTAACAGCCAGTAAGTGATTGTGAGTTATTTGCTGTACAAATATACACAGTATATCTTAATGAAATGTTGCACTAGAAAACTCTTTAGTCTGGGTTCTCAGGGACAGCCATAATCCAGAGCCCTCTGAAATTCTTGGCCTTAGTTTCTTGACATTTGTGCACAGCATTCAGTGCTGCAGTTTGCAGTAAAATGAAACAAAAGGAGAAATAGCCTTGTTTTCCACTC